TTCAAATTATCTTTAACAATAGTTGATGAGTTATAATTATGATCTTGTGTAAAACTGGATGAGTTATTGCACAACTCTTCTTCTACAATCTCAATTTCAACATCAAATTCAAATTCATGTGCAGCTGTAATACTGTTAACTTCACATTCAACATCACGTTCAGCATCCCCTTCAATATTATGTTCAGCACCACCTTCAACATCATTAACTTCACATTCATGTTCAGCACCACCTTCAACATCATTAACTTCACATTCATGTTCAGCACCACCTTCAACATCATTAACTTCACATTCATGTTCAACATTACGTTCAAAGTCATGTACAGCTATAACAGTACCATTGACTTCACGATCTACACCACCTTCAACTTGATATTTATTTTGATCTAATACTTCCATGAGTTCAAAGATCGATAATGATGGTTGAGACAAAACTGATGATGATGCTTGAACTCCATTTTCAGTAGTCGACGTGATGCAATTTAATGGAGTTTTATGTTTAACCCAAAGTTCATCTAATGTTTTTTGTACATTATTCATTTAAAATGAATCTAAAATAAAAATAAAAACGAAAAACGTCAATACTACTATTGATATAATACGATATATAACGAACAGAGGACCGATCCATATACATAAATGAACGGGATCAGATAGACAGAACATCATAGAAGACGAATGATAATTTGTATCAAAAGAGGTCACAGTGTTCCATTATTTAGACATAACTATTGAAATTCACAATATTCTTCAAAATTCACAGAATTAGAAGCAAAGTGTAATTTTATTAAGCAAAGTGTATTTCGTACACTCCACTTTTTGAAATAAGTGTACCGCAGCGTGTATTTCGAGAGGAGCAAGTGTTCTGTACATTTTTAGTATACTACGTACACTTGCTATTAGAAACACTGACTGGAACAGAAATTAAAGCAACCACAATCTTTATTTACAGTATGGGAACGATAATCTACAACAAGTCCAACTTCTACTCAAAATTCAACATCAATTACCAGTTTAGTTGTTACTACAACTGATACAACAAATAAGACTGATGACACAAATACATCAGCATCTAATTCATCTTCATTAAAGAAGCTCTCTAATACTACTACAGTAAATTATTTCTCATAAAATTATTAAATAATTTATCTTTTATTCTAGACATGTCATGCTCAAATTTGATTTCTTAGCGTCAGATTTCATAGAAGTTTAATCTCATTTAGTAATATTTTTGTAATTTATATATACTTATTTATGTATTGTTTTTGATTCGATTAATTAATTATGAACCAGTATGTGAAATAAATATATGTACGAAACAATTAATTTAGCTTTTAACTTCACAAAATACTTATGTAATAAAAAAAAAAATTCTAAAGATTACGTTATCAAGGGGGGGGGG